AATATTTTTAAAATATATTATTAAATATTATATTTAAATTTATTTGTATGATTAAACTTTTTTTAATTTTTTGATTTATTTGATATTATAATTTTTGTAGAAATTAATAATAAATTAGGAGGATAATAAAAATCTTAAAAATTATATGTATATAAGAAGAAATTATACTTTAGAGAATAAATATATATATATATATATATAAATATAATTTATTTTTAAGTTGATAATTTTTATTTTTATTTATGTAAATTTTATATATAAAATTAATTTAGAGTTCATATATGTAATTTTAATTTATGTAATATATATATATATATAAAATTTATATAATATATATAATTTATATAATATATATAATTTATTTAACATTAAAAATAATTATATTTTTATTAATTTTATAATTATAATTTTTTTAAGGTTATAATTTTAAATATAATTTTTTTAACTTGATATTTATAATTTATATAATATATATATATATATAATTTAAAAATAATTATTTTTTTTATTTTAAGTTGATATATTTTTTTATTTATAATTATTTAATATATATTTGAAAAACTAATTGATTATTTAAAAATTAATCAATTATTTAAAAAAATAACTGATTCTCATCAAGTATGAAAAAATCAAGAATGAAAAAACTAATCGATTACTTTTTGAAATAATCGATTAGTTTTTTAAATAGTTAAAATATATATATATATATATATATATATATATATATAATTTAAAAGTAACATATATGATAGCGGTTAACGTGGAACCGCTCTTAAAAGTGACCTATATGATAGCAGTTAACGTGAACCGCTCTTAAAAGTGACATATATGATAGCGTCTAAAAGAACTAGTTCTCAAATTCCGATCGATTACATTTTGAAATAATCGATTAGTTTTTTGAATAGTTAAAAAAAAAAATATATATATATATATATATATATATATATATATATATTATAGAAATGAAAATAAGTTATACTTTTAGAGAATAAATAAATAAATATATATATATATATAAATATAATTTATTTTTAAGTTGATAATTTGTATTTTTATTTATGTAAATTTTATATATAAAATTAATTTAGAGTTTATATATGTAATTTTAATTTATGTAATATATATATATATATATATATATATATATAATTTATATAATATATATAATTTATTTAACATTAAAAATAATTATATTTTTATTAATTTTATAATTATAATTTTTTTAAGGTTATAATTTTAAATATAATTTTTTTAACTTGATATTTATAATTTATATAATATATATAATTTAAAAATAATTATTTTTTTTAATTTTAAGTTGATATATTTTTTTATTTATAATTATTTAATATATATATTTGAAAAACTAATTGATTATTTAAAAATTAATTAATTATTTAAAAAAATAACTGATTCTAATCAAGTATGAAAAAATCGAGTATGAAAAAACTAATCAATTACTTTTTCAAATAATCAATTAGTTTTTTAAATAGTTAAAAAAATATATATATATATATATATATATATATATATAATTTAAAAGTAATATATATGATAATAGCTTTTAAAAGTGAAATATATGATAGCTGTTAACGATGAACCGCTCTTAAAAGTGACATATATGATAACTGTCCCACATTAACCGCTATCCTAAAAAACTAGTTCTCAAATTCGATCGATTACTTTTTGAAATAATCGATTAGTTTTTGAATAGTTAAAAAAATAAAATATATATATATATATATATTATTATAGAAATGAAAATAAGTTATAATTTAGAGAATATATATATATATATATATATATATAAATATAATTTATTTTTAAGTTGATAATTTTTTTTTATTTATGTAAATTTTATATATAAAATTAATTTAGAGTTCATATATGTAATTTTAATTTATGTAATATATATATATAATTTATATAATATATATAATTTATTTAACATTAAAAATAATTATATTTTTATTAATTTTATAATTATAATTTTTTTAAGGTTATAATTTTAAATATAATTTTTTTAACTTGATATTTATAATTTATATAATATATATATATAATTTAAAAATAATTATTTTTTTTAATTTTAAGTTGATATATTTTTTTATTTATAATTATTTAATATATATTTGAAAAACTAATTGATTATTTAAAAATTAATCAATTATTTAAAAAATAACTGATTCTAATCAAGTATGAAAAAATCAAGTATGAAAAAACTAATCGATTACTTTTTGAAATAATCGATTAGTTTTTTAAATAGTTAAAAATATAAATATATATATATATATATATATATATATATATATATATATATATAATTTAAAAGTAATATATATGATAGCGTTTAACGTGGAATCGCTCTTAAAAGTGAAATATAACTTATTTTTATTCATAATTTGATCCATTGATGCTTTAAACATCAGTTATTATGAATAATCCATTGATGCTTTAAACATCAGTTATAGATAAATTAATTCATTGATGCTTTAAACATTAGTTATTATGAATAAAAATAAATTATATTTTGAAATATATATATATATATATATATATATTATAATTTATCTATAATATGAGAACCAGTTATTTTTTTAAATAATTGATTAATTTTTAAATAATCAATTAGTTTTTAAAATATATATTAAATAATTAAAAATAAAATATATATCAAATTAAAATTAAAAAAAATAATTATTTTTAAAATATATATTATATAAATTATAAATATCAAGTTAAAAAAATTATATTTAAATTTATAACCTTAAAAAAATTATAATTATAAAATTAATAAAAATATAATTATTTTTAATGTTAAATAAATTATATATATTATATAAATATATATATATATATATATATATATATATATTACATAAATTAAAATTACATATATGAACTCTAAATTAATTTTATATATAAAATTTGCATAAATAAAAATAAAAATTATCAACTTAAAAATAAATTATATTTATATATATATATATATATTTATTCTCTAAAGTATAACTTATTTTCATTTCTATAATATATATATATATATATATATTTTAACTATTAAAAAAACTAATCGATTATTTCAAAAAGTAATCATATAATTTGAGAACCAGATACTTTTAGATAGTTATCATATATGTCACTTTTAAGAGCGGTTCCAAGTTAACCGCTATCATATATGTCACTTTTAAGAGCGGTTCCACGTTAACCGCTATCATATATGTTACTTTTAAATTATATATATATATATATATATATATATTTTTTTAACTATTTAAAAAACTAATCGATTATTTCAAAAAGTAATCGATTAGTTTTTTCATACTTGATTTTTTCATACTTGATGAGAATCAGTTATTTTTTTAAGTAATTGATTAATTTTATAATAATCAATTAGTTTTTCAAATATATATTAAATAATTATAAATAAAAAAATATATCAACTTAAAATTAAAAATTAATTATTTTTAAATTATATATATTATATAAATTATAAATATCAAGTTAAAAAAATTATATTTAAAATTATAACCTTAAAAAAATTATAATTATAAAATTAATAAAAATATAATTATTTTTAATGTTAAATAAATTATATATATATATATAAATATATATATATATATATATATATTACATAAATTAAAATTACATATATGAACTCTAAATTAATTTTATATATAAAATTTACATAAATAAAAATAAAAATTATCAACTTAAAAATAAATTATATTTATATATATATATATATATATATATATATATATATATATATCTCTAAAGTATAACTTCTTCTTATATACATATAATTTTTAAGATTTTTATTATCCTCTTAATTTATTATTAATTTCTACAAAAATTATAATATCAAATAAATCAAAAAATTAAAAAAAGTTTAATCAAACAAATAAATTTAAATATAATATTTAATAATATATTTTAAAAATATTATTTTACTATTTTCAACAATAAATATAAATATATAATTAATTTTAGAAATATACAAATCTTTTTAAATACCTAATTTAAAACTATAAATGTTAAATAAAATAGTATAACATATATATATATATATATATATATATATATATATATATATATTTTAGTTAGTTTTTTTCTTAACAAAATAAAAAGAAAACTATTCAGAATTTGGTTGTCTGAAAATCGAATTCTGAATTGTTTGTAAAAATTATAAAATATAATTACGTTTAGATTTCGTATTCGGCAAATCGAATTCTTAACTTAATAAAAAACTGTGCTAGGTAAATAAAACTTACATTGCTATTTGAATAATTAAAAAATGAATACGTGCTACTTTTGAAAAAATTTCACACTTTTACTATTGCTGGGGAAGTTAACCATTAAATTTTATTCCTATATAAATATCTTAAACTTTTTTTTTGTCGTTATGTCTTTATTGATCTTAAAGTTTACTCTCTTTACAAATAAATATCTTCAATTTTAATTTTCTATTGATTATTATATTTCATCTCTTTTTACTTATTAACAACTTGATTTCAATGTCTTCTGAATTAATTCTTGTAATTTACCTTTTGTAAATAGTCCCCTGTATTAGTTATTAAATTAATATTAAACTGTTGTCAAGGAGAAAAAAATATCAATAACTTATTTATTTCAAACTTCACTAATTTACTAGTTATTCTTAAAGGAAAATTTTAAGGATGATAAAATTAAAAGTTTATGATGTTCATTCTAAACAAGATAAAAGGTAAGGTTCAATTAAGATAGGGTTGAATGTTCTTTTATTTTATTTTTTATATCTTGACTGAGGTTTGCTACTGACTTTAATCTCCCCCATCATTCACCAAGACCTGGGAAAAACATATAAGATGCTAAAAGATAAGAGAAAATATTAGGAGGAAAAATGAGCAAAACTTTTATACAATCTTTCCTTTCCCACCTGATGGGTTATATAGCCTTTGACTATCTATAAGATGCAATATGTACATGATAGGTCTATCCTATGCGAAACCAAAAAATTAAACTTGGTACATCATCCCAACTTCCAGAGATGATGCATGAGGCACACCAGTGACAAAGGAGGGTGCCCTGCTGTTTCTTCTCAGGAATTCATACACTAAATTAATGGCTATTTTTTTAACCATGCTAGACCCTGGTTTTGCTCTCATGTGTGTCTGTCCTATAATGTAAGCTACCCCAGCCTCCCTTGCTTCCATCACCTCCTCCAACTCTTCCATTGCACCCATGTCAATCTTTGGACTCTCTGGTACCAAAAACCTTACCCTTTTCTTCTGCTGCTGGATCACCTTGGGTGACTTTATCTCCTTCAGTTCTGATGGCCCTGGCTTGTCTAAATTCTCAACATCATCTATATTATCCTCACTCAGCAAAAGGGAATGTTTAGAACATGTTCCAACTACTGCCATTCTGTCATCCTTTCCAGGCTCATCATTTAAAGTGTTCAATCCAGTTTTTTCTGTGCGTATGAATTCTGCTATGCTGCACAAAAGATCATTCTCAAACTCAACATCATCTTTGTGGACATCACGGTATCCATATCGCACTATGCACCGGTAGAGTCTGAAATCTTTTGGACCAACGCGACCAACTAGAAACCGTTCATCAGGTCTAACATGCGGAACTGGCACGTGTTTGATGCAGAGGAAAACTAGGACCTGATGGAAGGCTGGGAGGTTGGTTACAAAGTGAGAGAAGATTACTGGAATTCCAGAAACTAGCTCGGTGTGTATAAGGCCAACCCCACGCACTCGAACTATACCTATGCTGGGACCTAGACCGAGAAGCCAGTTGATGGAAACCTTATTCTGAACATCGAATTCATACTTCTTGAGCGTGCCATAGTGCCAAACATACATGAAAGTCAGAAATATGAGTGCCAATGCTATTGGTACCCATGCTCCTTGCAGGAACTTGATAAGAGAAGCAGAGAAGAAAAGAGCCTCAATGGTGCCAAATATGAAAACAAACCCAAGTGCAAGGAGGACATTCTGGTGCCAGCACAGCACCATAACCAGTGACATCAAACAGGTGGTCACCAGCATCACTGTGATAACTGCCAATCCTGTATCGCAAAGTAAAGTGTGTCATATTCTTGTCAGAAGGAAGCACATACCAATTACTTTAACACTCCCCTCCCCCTTCCTAGTTATGATCCCAACTCAAAAAGAGAACCAAATGTCTGCTTAAGCATACAAAGCCAAGCTACTCAGAAATTTAGCAAAAGTTAAACCTGAGTTGCATTCTTCCCCAGAAAAACTAGGATTGCTTATTCTTAAAAATGCATGCTCTTGATGCTTCTAGTTCCGTATTATATTGCTGCAAAATTAATGTACACATAAACAGGAATCAGTGTCATACCTGAGGCATTACCCAGGCGCTTTGTGTCTCTGAAACAAATAGTTACTGCCAAACACAACATCATCAATAGCCAATTGATCTCAGGGATATATATTTGCCCATGAATTTTTGATGATGTATGAATCACTTTAACTCTAGGGAAACAACTTAATGCGGAGCACTGCTTGATGATTGAGAATGTTCCAGTGATAATGGCCTGACTTCCCACAACTGCAGCAAGTATGGCTATGACCAGAACAGGCCATCTCAATTTCTCTGGAAAGCAAAGAATGAAAACGGTCAATTAGTTGAGAATTCCCCATCATATACTTTCTCCCTCAAAGAATGAGTTACACCACCTACCTGGTACAGATACGTAAAACCCAAAGTGATAATCTTGCTCCATGTCATGATGTTTGGATAGATAAGCAGCTTGCCCCATATATGCAAGAATTAAAGATGGATAAACCACAGAAGTAAAAGCAATCTGGAAAAGAGATGTAAATAAGTAAGCATTTCCAAAAGCTATTTAACTGCAAACTAAAGTTGACAAGAGTTATACTATGGCTTAGTGCATTAATCATAGTGAGAAGAGATGCTAGCAATTGTCAACGAACATAAATTACAATTTTGTAACTAAACCAGTCACGATAGCAAACCCAACAGAAGCAACATTTCAAGATGTCACATTGCCAAATACACTCCTATATCGTGTCTTTAGTATATAATATTAGGTAGACCCGGTTATCCTACAGCATATAAAACCAAATTTAAAATAGCATACCTTGATTGACAATTGGCTAAAGTGCCCAAGATCAGCAAACATGGCTTCTGATCCTGCAAAAGTACAATCGAAATGGTATGAATATTGACCACAAATTGATATAAAATACAAGTTAATCATCAAGTAGACCGACTAACCTGTGATACACAGTAAAATTCCACCAAGAGCCATCCAACCTCCTTTCTGAGTTTTCATTAAGAGATGGAAAGCATAATATGGAGAGAGTGCTTTGTATACATGTGGGTTCCAGTAAAATATATTGTATATTCCAATGGTACTAATGCAGAAAAGCCACAAGATAATTACAGGAGCAAACAAGAATCCAACTCTGTGTGTGCCATAATGTTGAAGAGCAAACAAGCCAATCAATATGATGCATGAAGCTGGAACTTCAACATCTGCAAGGCATCAAATTTAAAAACTTCATATCAGCAAGGAATGTTCCATATTTCTAAATATTTGTAACCACTCATAATTTAATGATTGATGATTAATCCCACCCCCTGTCACATTGAAAGAAATGTTTTCACTGTAGCCACAGTATAGCAGGTTATTGCTGCACAGTTAGGCTCATGGTGCAGAACTGATCTTATGATCCCTAAATAAACTCTGGAAATGAACATTTATGAGTAAACACGTAACACAAGTTCCATTTAAAGCCAGAATTGGGTGAGACCATTATGGGAAGTGTCAAATTCAGAAGACGCAGCACGGTGTTTCACAGTCCACCCGATTTACCAAACAGGTTGCCTAAGTTACTTGTTAAATTCAATCTCTAAAGCATTCTCTGTGATTGCTGGTCTTCACATGTGACTTACGAAGATTTCTACCGGGATACAAATATAGGGCACCCTAAAAGTGCACAGACAAATGCAACAACATGACTTGTCCTTAATGCACAGTTCCTCACAAGACAAGTATTGAGTATAAACTACTAAGAAACACCTACAAGGCTGAGAAAATAAAGAGATAAACTTCTAGTGATGTAACATCATTGGAGAAAGCAGAACTTTTTTTCATGGAATAAAACATGCTCAGGTCAACAGGGATCTCCTTTAGGTCAACAGGCAACAAATTTCCAAGTATGACCAGTATCCAACTTCTAAACAAACTAATAATCTATCATACAAAAAAAATAAGCAGAACTCACATGCGTGCATCTTCTTGGACATTGAAAGCTCCAATCCAGAAACAGCTGAGAAAACTGCAAGCAATCATCCAAACAATCCAACTCAGTTCCTCAACAAAATCCCAAAAGTCAAAGAACAAAACTTAGCAGTCCCTGCTATACATATAATACTGTTCACCAATCAGAATCTCAATTTCCCCTGGAGAACCTATGCTCACCTTCAATTTAAACATATATTACACGAATTATCCAGATGAAACTTCAATTCTAGCATAAGAACCGCACCAAAAACACAAAAAAGCTGCATCTAAGTTTTCTCCTAAGTCAAAGGACAAAACTTACACCCAGTTCTTTAACTGCTTTAGTTCTGTTCACTATCAGAATTAGAGTTTCAATCCGAGAAACTAGATTGACCATTAATGTAAATATTTATGTAAAATATTGAGACGAAACTTCAATACTAATCGAAAAACACAAGTGAAGCACACACAAATACCTGCTTCTACAAAACAATAGCACAATCATTGACCTCACCAGAAATAGCCGGCGTGAGGATGCCATCCCCAATGACCATGCAAGTCCCAATCAGAGCCAGAACGAGCAAAACCCTCTGCAGAACCTTGCGCTTCTCAAACGTGCTTTTGAGCCGTGAAGCGAAGCTCCTATCGGGAGCCGCGCGGCGTGAATCCTTCTTGTACTCCGTCAACTCCTCATCCGCTACCTGACAATTCGGCAGCGAACTCACCCGGGCGTGGCGGCACAGTAACGAGTACAACGCAAACGTGCCTCCCTCGCCGTTATCATCAGCTTTGAGCACAACAAACACGTACTTAACCAAAGGAATAAGCGTTATGGTCCAAAACACCAGCGACAGAACACCGAAAACCTCGTCGTTGCTCTCGGTGTGTTCAATGTCCTCCGCAAACGTGCTTCTGAAAACGTACAACGGCGAAATGCTCAAATCACCGTACACCACACCCAAACTCTGGTACGCTAGAGTCAGAACCGTTCTCCACGACTCTCTCTGCAAAAAAGAAAAATCTGCATTCTCAGACAACAACAATTAAAATAACAATAATAACAACAGCAAATACAACAACGTTGTTTACATCGAAATTGAAACATTGCAGGTTTCGGGGAATATGTTTGGTTAGTTCTCTCACCTTAGCAGAGTATCGACGAGTTCCACCTTCTAGATCCATCGCATGCTATTCGTGAGTCTCAGAGAACCATTTTTGAAGAGAAATTGAAAATCACACAAATGCTCAAACTAGTTCATTAAGAAACGAGTGTGCTATATATATTGAGTGTGAAATAATTTAATTCAGAAAATAGAAAGAAATAAAATTAACCCTGTTTTTTTAATAGCAATAATTACGATTTATCTGATAAAAATAAATATAATATATATAAAATAATAATATCAAAGATGTATAACTTTCAAGATCGATGACAGGGTATTAAAAAAAAAAAGGAATCCAAAATTTGGAGTAAAATAAGAAGATTCAACTCTGGAAAATGACCCTCCCAGCTTGTAGGTTTCATTCGGAGAAAATTGGATGCACACGAAATATGAGTTTCATTATTTTATTTAATTAAATATGAAGAGGCTAAGTGAAAGAGAAAAAGAAGAAGGAAAAGGTTCTCTTACGTGAGAAGTTATCGTGCAACAGAAAGAGGTTGAGGGGAAACACGAAAAGACACTAATTGTGTGCATTAAAAAATTGAACCCAATGGAAGTTTAGTTTGCGTGTGTTCAAGAGATAGTGAAGGATTATTGGAAGAATGAAAGAAGGTTGAAAGTTAGTGGTGGGGTTGGTAGGGTTTGCTTTAATTTGGTCTTGTTTTTGGGCAATTACTGATAAGAGCGTGATCTTTTCCACCTGGTCATAAACTAGAGGCATAGAGTGACCTCCTTTTATGAATTTCTAAAACATCAACTTACTTTAATAAATTAATAGAAAATTAAGATTATGAGTATTTGATTCTCATCTTTGAACATGTGTGTTACGTGTTTAGTTTTGTAACCTGGGATTTTTATGGAATGTTTTTATTAGGATGATAATTAACCTTATCTTTTTTCCCTTTTTTTTTATTAGTTGCCTTGTTTGTTATTTGGTCTGGGAATTGTTGGCAGCTGAGAAATTAACTCTCCTTGTTAAGGTAATGAGTCCTATTTTGACCAGTTTGGATTTTTTATTATTATTCTCTTTTCTTAGTTACCCTAAATCCTAGACATACAATTATGTATAAAATATAAAAAAACTCGAATGAAAAAATATTCTTTATTTTAGTTTGAGTTAGGTAAAATTAGGAAAGGTATTTTATTTTTCTACCAAATTTAAACATAATTGTATTTTGAGACACTCAATTTTTTTACCCCTTGTCAAACTAAATTTTATTATTACTTTCCCATGTTAAAACCATTTAAATGTTATAAACAGCAACAGCATTTTCATATTACAAAATTACTTTATATTTTTAAGGAGGAGAAAACTAAATAATTGGAAGGTCAAGTAATTTACTTTCATGTTTATATTATATGTAGGTAGAATGATTCATTTGATTTTTTATATAAATATTTTAATTTTATTTTAAAATTAAATAAATTAAAATAAAATTATTGGACATAGTTTTAATCTCTTATTTTTTATTTCGAACAAATATTTACATATTACTATTGAAAATGTAATTCAATCTCTTTATATTATAATAAAATATATTTGAATCTATAACTGATTAAATGATATTTTAATACTAATTTATAAGAATTTGATTGAAATAAAAAAATGTGAAAGATAATTTTTTTTAATTTATTTATTTATTAACATTAAGTATTAACTAAAATAAATTTAAAGATCACTTTGTATAAAGAAAAATAGACAGAGAAAAACTATTAGTATAAAAAAATAAGTAGAAAGAAAGTTTTTTTTTCTAAATTGATAACAAAGAAAATATAAATAAATATGTCATATTTTATTTTAATATTTTTTATAAAATAATTTTATTCTATCTCTAATAAAATGATTATTATTTTTATATTTACAATTTCAATTTATATAAATATATTAAATTTTTTATATTATTTTAATAAAATAGAATAAATATAAAAATTAAATATATTTATTTTTTAAAATATCAAAGTATATATTTATTAAAAAATAAATTTTTAATTTGAAAATAATTATTTAAAAAATGAATTAATAACTATGTAAATAATTTAATAATTATTTAATTATTTAATTTTAATTTATTTTATTATTATGTCTTTAAATAAATATTTTTTTACATATCACTTTCTTTCTAAATTTTCATTATATTTTATATTTTCTTTCTTTCTGTTTTCTTTTCTTATTACCCAACAAACAATCAAAAATCCCAAATCATTCAAATTTTATCTGTAGTAAATATAAAACAGTTAGTTTTAATTAAAATATTGTACAACAGAATTAAAATAATTAAAAGCATTTAATTTTTTCTATAAATAAGGAGCATTCAAAATTAAACGAATGATTTGAACTAAAAAATTATCAATCTTAATTTATTTTGAAATAAAATAAAGTTATGCTCATACATAATTATACACTAATGATATCAATAAGGATCTATGTAAGATAGGACACATAAAAATTTCATTACCTACAAATTCTACAGTTTGAATATACATACATACATACATACATATATATATATATATATATATATATATATATATATATATATATATATATATATATATATATATATATATATATATATATAAACATTCTTCAAATTAAATCTCAACAACTGTACAGGTCGCTTATGAATTTAACTATGATAACAACAACATTTTTTTTTTTAATAATAACCAAACGCTATATACTAATTCCATTATCAGATATGTTATGCGTGGTACACATCACAGAAAGAGTTGTTGCAGATAAGTGATTATGCAGCATTGAAATCGATAGGGCCAAAGGTTGTTTTCTTTCTTTTGGTAATAAAATAAACTGGTGTTGATGTGGCGAATGATAATGTCACTGAGTTCGTCCTATCCATGTATATAAAGAATATGAAGAACTGCAATAAATGCAATTACCTTCTCCTAACTGGAGAGAGAATGCAGAGAATGAGACCCTTTGTTTGATATGAGATATTTTGTCAGATTCATATAAAGCTAAAACATTTATTAAAAGGGTATTTAAATTTTGTCTAAGTTCATAATAATAAGGACAATGATAAAGTAATTGAAGATAATTATGGTTTTGAATAGTAGTAATGTGGTGGTGTTGACACAAAACTAGAGATGATAGGTTATCAAAGTAATACCAAAGTGATTACTGTGTTGATATAAGCAGAGGCTCATATTTGCCACAAATACTTGGTTGTGGGGGTTGCCAAGTGGAATCTCATATTCAGAGAAAGTGTTTTTGGGTGTCTGGGAAAGTCTACATGTCACTTTTTTTTAACACTATTTTCTTTGTCTTTTCAGAACCTAATATTTGACAATAACCACCACTCTCTCTTTTTTAATAATTTTTCACCTTCAGCTTCAAACGGAGAAAAAATAACACCAAGAAAAATGTTATTGGATAAAATAATAGTGCCAAAAGGAAGCATTTTCTTGGTCATCATATACTTTTATTGAGGACAAAATTCATTAAATTTTAGTAAAAATAAATAATCACTTAAGATATTGTATATATTCAATTTTAATTTTACTCACCTTAATAAAACTTAGTAGTATGTGTGTTCTCATTCTTTTACAATAATTAAGTGTTTTTATCCAAAAATCTCTTTGTAGGGTATTTTTAAGATTACCTAATAGTAAACATGATTGTTATCAAGAATTATATATTTGATCACATTGAATTAAAAATATAAAAATTTAAAATTGGGATGGAAAACATTAAAAATTACACTATTCAAATTTACCCACACTAATTTCATTGATATATTATGTCAAAAAACTAGTTAGTTTATTTTCAGGGAAAATTTAACCATAGATGGTGGATAATTCAAAGACAGGTAAGTTACTTTAATTTCATTGTTAATAAATTGTTTTCATATATTTGTTTATTATATTATAGATGTAAAATTTGATAATTTAGTTTTATTAAATATTATTTATGATAGATGGAGTCTTCCCCTTTAATTATATATTTTTATCTATTAGGGTTGAATCTATTAATTTAAATGTTTATTTTCAAAAAAATTATTTCATTATTGCATAAGAAAGCATGTTGTATGTAAGTTTTTGAAAAAGGAATTTAATAAGAATATACTATATTTTAACAGTCTAATTAAGTTTATTTTCAAAACAAAAGATTAAATAGTATCTAAGATATATTTAAATACAATTTTTTCCTTTTAAATAAAAAAGATCGTAATTTGTATTTAAAATATGTAAACATATATTAAAATTTTAGTCAAAATTATTAGTTGAATTATAATATTACATAGCAAAATCAGCCAACAGATTCGTGTGAATTTTATAAACTACTCTTTTTCTCTTGTAAACATTTATATATCCGCGAAATTAAAATGTAATCTCATTAAAAAAAAATTTTGAATTCAACGTGAAGATCAATACTCAATTGGATAAATTGTTCACATAATTTACCTTTACCAATTTATATTTAATTTATTTATATTCTAATATGATATAAGCCTTTGAATCAAAACAGACAATCAGGTGAGAAGGTAAAAAAAATATATTAAAAATAGACAGAAGATTCTAAGAGATTCTGGATTTGTTGAGATTTTTAAGGTTCATGGTTTAGAAAAGGAGCCAAAGAGAGGTTCCGTGAAAAATTGTAGTTGTAGTTTTTCTCTGGCTTTTACCGCGTTTGGATGAGTTTTCTAAAATAAATTTTCTTTTTGAGAAATACAGAAAAATATAATTTTTTTATAAACTAAAATTAATTTTTATATAAATTAAATTTTAGAAAATTATATATATATATATATATATATTTGTTTTCAGATAATCTATTTTTAAAAATATAAAAAAATATAAGTTGACATTTGACTGTACATTTTGTCTACCAAATTCTCAATAACGTAATAAAACAACATTCTGAAAGCATTGTGGTCGGCCATTCAAACCATTGTTTTACATCATGTCCTTTTGTTGACTTCATTTGAGAATTTTTTTCCCTTCTATAATAATAAAATGTAAGAGTGAAGATATTTATTTATTAAAATTAGATTTATTGAA